GCTGCTGTTTATCAACTTATTTAACATTTATACTAATATCATATAGCTGAAGAGTTTGTTTGTTTGAACGCGCTTATCTCAGAAACTGCTAATTCGAAGTGAAAAAATATATTTGTGTTGTAATTTATCAAGACACAATGAAAAATAAAACTTTTGAGATTATAAAAATAATGCTGCTTCTTTAAGTGATCTAAAAACGTCTGACAGTATATATGTCTATCTTTTAAGACTAAGCAAGAACTTTTTTCACGGTAATCAAATTTTGCCAGATTTAAAGTATTGAATAGTTTTGTATCAACATAATAAATGCTAAATAAGAATAGCTAGATCGGCTAAAAACATTAAAAGCACAATTCAAGTATGTTTAATACCTATTATAGAAAGATGACGTCATTAAAACCCAAAAGATTTTTTACGTTTTTCAGCGAGAAAACTTTGCAGATCCCATGAGTCAATCTAGGTAGGTAGTCATCGATCGAGCATCCGCATTGTAAATACAATGCCTATTAAATATTTCAATCAAAACCCTTTACAGAGATTCCGAGAATTATTTATGTGAAGGAAACAAAACCCTGCAAAACTCCGCAGTTGTCCCGTTATGTGACTCTGCGTCTATCTCTTTCTATTGCGTTATCGCGAAATATACGCGTCCCTTTCACCCTTGAATGGTGAATACCATTTTACGAGAAGGTCGATACCAGTTTTGGTGAACAACAAAGACATACCTTCGGATCCGAATTCGCAAAGATGGAGTCTGTAGGGGTAGACTATTTACAATGTCTATATAACAAGTTGTTTGGTTTGATGTAAGTAAGTAAAATAAGATATTTTCCTATAGCTAATTATACATAGGTATTGTCTGTAGGTTAGACGAGTATTTCAGATTGGAATAAAACATTTTAAACCGTTTGTAACGCCACATATTTTAGTTACTTTATTTTAACCACCTCGACGTTTCGAATGCTTTGCCGTGGTTACGTTTAATAAAACATAAGTTAGGTAACTAAAATATTTTTTGTTTCAAGGTGTTATAAGTGTTTTATATCAATATGTACTACTGTAGTAATATAAATCGTGTTTTAAACCGTTAAAAGTGTTTTATTTCAATCTGTACTGCTGTCGTAATATAAATCGTGTTTTAAGCCGTAAAAAGTGTTTTAATTTTAACAATAATTCAGAAATAACAAGATTACTTTGATCTTATGATATTTACAGAACTTATTGTCGCTGTTCTAGAAATTGGGATGTATTCGAGACTTCTGCGGTGTACACATGTCGATTTGTACTTTATAGTTATGCATAGATTTAAGCAAATGTAATGTGCGTTCTGAGTTGAAACAATATTAAAATTTGTAGTTTTAAAGCAATAGATATTTGAATATTCTAAAGATGCTTTTTAAACAACAAAAGCAAGCCACGCTGTGGTTTACTCTGCCCTGCCATTTCTGTTTCCTATATAGTAAATATATAATACCTAGCATAAGGTTAGGATTATAGTCTCTTTCTATTCTTTCTCTTCTTTTACGCTCAAGGGGAAATATATTTCCTTTCTACAAAAATCGTAATCAATTATTCAATTATAACACTTTTGACTGCGTTAAACGTGAAATATATCAGCTATTTTTACGTGGCATTACTTTATAGCAGCCGCGCCCTGCGAACAACACCAGCTGAAAATCTGAAACATTAGCTCGTAATGAAGTGTTTGTGTTTTTATTTGAACAGGGCACTTGATGATAGGTATTTACCTATCATCAAGTGCCCTGGGTATTTACCCCAACCATATGACATCTCAATAAGAGAGGGTTGACCCATTTTCCATCTCCTGAAAATTTGAAGTCTGAAACATGTTGTTCAGAGGATATATAAAATGATTAGAAACATATGGACCCGGATCCGGTGGGGATCGACCCCAAGGCCCGTTGATTAACCAAACCATACCATTAGACCAAAAGGTCCGTTGGTTTAGCACGATTCATTTCATTCAGAAGATTCTAATCGTGTTCAATATTAAGAATTGTATTCGGAAGCTAAACCGAAGAATTACGATCTGTCTCATAGACGCGTTTGGCGGAGGTTGAGTTATGTTGTTTTAATTAAAACAATAAATAAGGCAGCTGGGCCGATGGGTGGTCCCTTTGGGTTCAGACATTCCCAACATTATCGAACTGATGTGGATCAACACCTAAGTGAGCCACTCGCGGCCAAATTAATATACTTTAATGATATAATTACATCAAGTAGACGGGCTCGTTCGTGTTAGCAGTGTATGACTAATAATCAACGGGTCGTGGATTCGATCCCCGCCGAATCGAAGGTTTCTTAACAATTATTCTAAAACATGTAGTGTGACATGAGATGACATGTTTCTTGTCTTTACGATTATAATTACTAATTACCCTGTGTCCCCTACATGGGGCTTTAGGTACACAATTTTGTGTCTGTATCACTGATCTACTTTAAGTACTTGATCAGAGTTCTGTGCCTTGCTCGACCGAAACTATTTCCCTGGGTTAAGTACTACCGGTGTCAACGACTTTGTCCCCGTAGAAGTTTCGGCATCAAAATTTGTTTTTGCCTTACTCCTGTTCAACTCTATACATATAAGTTGTTACCTGCGACGTAGTCAGCGTCCCATCTTTCTTGAAAGTTAATCTTAAGAGATATATATAACATTATTTTTGGTCACTTCAAGAGGAATCATTCTTTCCTACATATTTTTTGGGTATCTCTAACAGTTTTCGCAGCGTACGTAACGGTAACCCATATGGATGAATATTTTTTTTTTTCATTTCCCGCTGTTTCTTCGCTCCTATTAGTCGCGCCCGAAGTATGATAGCCTTATAGCCTTTCTCGCCGTATGCTCTAACTAACACCAGAATATTTTTTTTAATTCGAACCAGTAATTTCTGAGATTAGCGCGTTCAAACAAACAAACATATTCTTCAGCCTCAGCCATATTAGAACTTAGAAGTTACACATGAAAATAAAAAAGAACGAAAAATTTAATAGTTTTTATTAACAGATCATTATAATTTTAGTGGGAGAGGAAGTAATGTCCAAGTGAAAACATTTTGCCTTTTTATTCTACATATACACGACTTCTAGAGGTCACTAATGTCAACAGTTAATTCTACGAGTGAATGGAAATAGTCGCTTACAGTGGCTAAGAAATATCCTTTTACAGATTACAATATAAATTTATACAAAAAGGAACTACCAGTGCGAATGGATACTCTGGCATACGTCTACTTACAAATCTTAAACTACTTCACAACATCCATGACGTGCGTCCATCTAGCGTACCCCTAGTTCGAGTTTAAAAGATAATGGTAAGGAATTGTCGTTCTATTAATAAATATTTGTTCAGTTGCGTGTATTGAATAAGTGATGAGAACTTTTGAGAAATGAATAAAGAACAAACAAATTGAAATTAAAAAAAATTATCTTCATAAAGAAATTCAACGAAAAATAGTTACTTTTTATTTACCTATCAAACTCGTACTAGGGTTACGGAACGAGCGGAGTATTCAGCGAATTTAAACATTTGTAGATTTTACCATTAAAATTCTTATAATCTGCTTCCAAATGTTAGACATTTTTTTACGTAGGTACTGTCTGTAGCTTACGCTAGTAGTACCTACACATTGAAATAAAACTTTTAACGGTTAAAACGCACAATATATCAAATAAATTTTAAATAAGTCAACTGACACATTTTGCATTTTAAACCGTTAAAAGTGTTTTATTCAAATAGTTTTTTTTAAATTCCAAATACCGATCTACATTAGGCCCAACTCAGGAAATAAACTTAGTAATCTGAATTATAGTGTTCTAAGCACCAGATCTTATGACAGACAGTAACCATTTACAGTAGTTTGAAGGTCGTTATTTCTGCGCCCGTCTTATGTTCCGCTTGTGCTCTGCTCGCTATAGTATTTGATGTAGGAACACTATGAAATTGACCTCAAATTCTTCAACTCTTCAATTACTTGTTCTACGAGTATAATAGATACAACAGCCTTTCAAATTCTCCTACAGCGATATTTCTATATTGTGGACGCAGCGTCACGTTTCGACAAGCCAATTCTTAATACTAGCTTCTTACCTAAAAATTATATTATGGAAATATTTCATATTCAACTACTTATTGTATCTTACATTTAACCTAGGTTTTTATTTAAATAAAATTATTAATTTACGCAATAAATAAATAGTATATATTAAAACCGTTTCGGTTCGTCGAACTTTACATAACACTGTCATTCACTGACCGCACAATTATTATTTTTAAACACTTACTATTATTACTATGTCTTACGCATTATTGCTATATGATACAATCAAACTACGTACTTACACGTAGTCCACTATATTGTGTTTAGGTAAATTTGGAAATTATTAGTTATACAATTAGAAAACACGGGGTTGACAAGACTACAAAAGTTTCAATATTAAATCTATGTATTTTACGTTATTATTCTCCTCGTCTTCAGAATTATACTGAGTTTAACGAAATCGGATAAGAAAATTCCTCCCGTAATAAATTCCTTTTCCGGGCTCATTAGCGGATGCTTTATAAACAATAAATAAAGCTTTTTCAGCTCGGAATAGAATTACGCTTTATGAGCAAACACGTAATTTTAATTATAACAAGACTTGGGAATTGTGATCGAGCATACGCAATAAATAAAACACAATTGTGACTCGGCTTCGGGATGGACGGATAAGGAAACTGAGTCGAAAGATAGGAATAACCGAACATTAAAAATTATTCGATTACGTCATTGATCTATATAATCTATAATACATGTACAACCATTTCACGTAAACACCACACGGTACCATTAGGATGCATACACACTGTACACGGCACCTTAAATTAGGCTGAAAGTCAATAAACAGTCTTATAATAACTTGCTAGCATCGTATACGGTTGGCTAACGTCAGATAGGAACGTTCCTAACTCAACACAGCGCTCATAAAGCGCAAAACTGTGGCTATGGACAGTCCATGGAGTTGGGACTTGGCGGGCCCCCCATAACGCTGTAGGGGGGGCTGTGAGGTGGTAGGGACTGGATGGAGCCCATGGGTCCGTGGTACATGTCCATCTCCATGGAGGCATCGGGGGAGCACTTGTCTGTCATCTTGTTTTCCTGCTTTGTCACCATGCGCCGCCATTTTGCTCGCGCGTTTTGGAACCATACCTGTGAACAAAGATCAGCCGTGAGTCAAAAGTCATTTGGTATTGCTATCGCCAGCAGTAGCGCACGCTTGATGATCCCAACATCATTGGTGATGATTATCTTGTTTGTGTACCCATGACAACAGACAATTTTGGAATCAAAATGATAGAGTGCATAAAAATGTCTGAAAATCAAAGAAGTTAGAAGAAGTTTAGGTATAGGGTCGGAAAATTTTTTTTAGGACATTATGATAATTAAAATTACTTTTCTAAGTATTTTTTTATGCTGACCCTGCTGATACTGCATTCTCTCTGCCTTTTTTCTCTAACTACCTACATATTTTAAACATGCCATCGAATATCTATTTAATTTTTTTCAACCTTGAAGATATTTATTTAATCTAAAAACAGGTGATGCATTTGTCATATTCAATGTATACTAATAAAGCTAAAGAATTTGTTTGTTTGAACGCGTTAATTTCAGGAGCTACTGGTTAAATTTTGTTTTGTACTATATTTTTATTTATGATGATAGACCATGTATCGAGGAAGGCAGATTAATTTTCAAAAATGGCAGGACACGGACGACGTCATGAGCACCACCTACGGTATATAACGATGAGGTTTGCAAGAATTTTTTTTTGATGCCCAAATTATTCCACGCGGAACAAGTTGCGGGCACAGCTACGATTTAATATTTACCTTTCAGGACGCGAGTACAGAACCAATGGCGCGCTTCTAAGCCCATGGCCACGCCTCTACACGTCATGGCCGCTATTGCGAATGAGTAATGCCAAATTTAGATAATCCATTACGCCTAGTTATAGATAGGTTTGCGAGAGTAGGCCGCTGTTTGTTTACAATGAGTACAAAGTACAACATACAGAGTATAGCGTAAAGGTAAACGCTGACGTGCGGAAAATATTTGCTCTATTTTTAATCAAAGCTGGGCTGGCTAAATCTGTCGTACAGTGTTAAACTAAAAATAGGTACTAAAAACACACCTAAATTATATAATATTGTGTTCAGTATTCATAATTTCTTACGAAGATTTCAAACATGAAGATTGAAGAAAAATTGAAGTCGCCTCTGTAGCTAAACGATTAAACTTGTGTTTGTATTGCGTTAGACCTTAACGCAATGCAAATACAAGTAAATACAAGTAATACTCGGTTCGAATCCCTGGAAACCAATAAAACCTCTCGATTGGCAGCTCACAGAAGTCTAATCAACTATTAGACTATAAATGAAGCAGATCACACAGAAAAATGTTTGAACCATGCCCTACAGAGGGGTTTAACTTTTTTAATATGAAATAATTAATTTACTTAAGCAGTTTTGAAACGGAGTTGAACTAAGAAGAGAAAACAAATATTTTTAATTCAATAAACACTTTTACGGTTTAAAATGCGATATATATTAGTAAAACTTATTTTTTAATTATTTTAACCTCGGCCTAACGTTTCGGTTGCTTTTCAGCAGCTGTGGTCACGGCGAGACTATGTTTACTACTGGCGTAAACTACAGACAGAATTTAAATATTTTTATACTCCATTCCGATAAGTATATTTTGGGATCTACTGTACGAACGGAACATTATCTATCTAATTCCGAAGTAAGTGTGGATTAATTGCACCCGACTATACAGCCGGCGTTGCTAATTAAAAATATAGGTTAATTAACTAGTAAATTGGAGGTGGACTATACCTGTCATAGTTCACAAATTCACGGGAGGTAATAAGATACAATCAAGGAGATGAGTGAGAGATGGGTGAAAAGTGAAGGAGATGACGTCCAGAATTGATGGTCTTACGTCCGCACGTTGTCGCAAGGTTTCTAAGATAAGCCATAGGCACGGTGGTCTTGACACAATGACGCAACTATCTCATTCAAATTTACCTGCTAAAATCGTGAATCATTCGAGTCGAAATAGAGTATTATGTTATTTTGTGCTCTTGTTTATTTAATATTGAAAATATAAATGTATGAATAATCTGTGTCATTTTTTTAAAGATATTAATTAAGAAAATACAAACGAGACTTCTATACTAAAATAGTGCGACGAGCTCGACGAGTCGTCGAGGTCTAATGGACAACAACGCATTTTGTTTAGATGCTATAGGTTGCGGTATATCACCTACTATCAAGAGAAGTGCTTGTCTGACCTTCTTTAAAATATCAATGGAGTGCAATGTACTTTATCGCTAACAAGCGATCTCTTCCAGACAACCCAAAATGAATTTAGATTGATGTAAGAAATCTAACAAATAATAATATTGACTGTAGCTTAATCTCTATTTAAATAACTATTAGTTAATTATCAGAATCTTTAGTTAATTGTATTTCTCAACTTTAAGATATCAAATTAGTTTAGGATAAATAAACCTTAAGGATAAACCCGTACGATTACTTTTCCGAATCCGTTTATTTAGCCGTAAAAAATAATGAAAGCCTACGCCCGTGGCGAAGCTTCGTTATCCCTTATACAATGCTATCAATTACAACACTGAGGCCAACAATGGGAAAAGTCATGAAAATAAAAACATTTTCAATTGTAAGTCGACGAGAAATGATTAACATTCCTCGCGAGAACAATAGGCTTTAGAGATGAGCTTTTGCAGCGAAATTTTTTCTGCATATTTACGATAATTCTAAAAGCCAGTCTTTTCCTAAACGAAATCTACCTCTACAATGTACAGTGCCATAATTCCTAAGGCGCGAAAATACTTTAGTCTGCCCGTTTAACTAAGGATTCAAACAGTATTATATCAGTTATTTCAATTCTATCGGCACTGTAGAGACGGTTTCAAGTAGGTCTACTTTCAATTCCTTATCTAGAATTAAAACAAATATTTTATACGAACGATACATTAATAAAACAAGTTAATCGGTTTTAAACGGTTTACAATGACCGGTGTATGTCATACTATACAACATTTTTTTTTGTGACTTGGACAAACGGTAGTGATCTATTGCAACACTGTCTGTATTTTACGCGAGTAGTACATATTTAAATAAGACACTTTAACGGTTTAAAACGCGATATATATTAGATAAACTTATTTGGAAATTATTTTAACTGCCGACGTTTCGGATGCTTTGCAGCAGCTGTGGTCACGGGAGACTGTCAGTTTAACCAATATATATCGCGTTTCAAACCGTTAAACTGTTTTATTTATTCTAAAAGAAATGTTTTTATTTCAAAATACGTTTCTTATACAAATGTATCCAACACTATGATATCTCATAGCTCTATTCTGGACACCGATTCATACAGTCGGACAAAACCATTTATTATGCCGTGACATTTAAACAAATTGTTAACGAAAATAGCTTTTCTCAATGAACTGTAAGTCTCAATTTGCTAGAGCATGATATTCAACGTTGAACTTAACATGTGCGTCCAAATAGTTCAGTAGGATATTTAAACTGCTAATATATGCCTAGTATTATACAACAATAGACATCGTCTGTACGTTTATTAACATAAATAATTAAGTGTAGGTAGATTTTTTTACCAAATACTAGCTGTGTCAGCGGTTTCGTCCGCGAGAATCGTTATTTTGGGCATCTAAATTCATTTTTTTTGCAAACCCCTTCATTTTTATTTTAAGCTTCCCGTCGTTCTTGCACGGTAATCTTAAATGAGAGACATATAGCGTCGCGGACTCTTTTTAGATAATTTAAAGAGGAATCATTTTTCGTACATCTTTTTGGGTATCGGGAACTGTTTTCGCAGAGCACGCAGTTTTCAATATTTCTCACTGTATCTTCGCTTGTATTAGTCACAGGGCGATGTTTTAAAGCCTATACCTTCTTCGATAAACCCTCTAACCAACACAAAAAGATTTTTTCATTTCGAAGCAGTAGTTCCTGAGATTAGCGCGTTCATACAAACAAATTCTTCAGCTTTATATATTAGTATTTATAGATTTGCGAGCAATATTCATGTACCTAATAATGATTATTTCCAAAGGTATGTGTCTAAAAATACTGATCCAATATTATCCTCAAACGCCACTTAGCGGCGATATAAAAGTTCAATTCCCTGAACCTACACAAGTTACGATCAAAGGCAACACAACTGAAACATTCCATTCGTTAATAAAAGTAAAGCGATGTGATTAATAGCGCGTTTTCCTTAAATAAATAATATTTGAATAAATTAGGAGGCAGGCACGCCGCGTCCGCTTCGTGTGAGGACTCGCGGCCAAATGACAAATGGTCGCCTTTTGAGATCGCGGCGGAAATTATCTGCCCAACCGAGCGTCTCGAGACGATGCGTTCGTACTAATTACTAGAGCGTTTGATTGTGATCTCAATACTTCGCACTTGATTTTCAATCTTAATAACCGGTCTTAAAGACTTAATTCAATTGGGTTGATTAGCTCATTACCGCAATTGTACTTAGAAAACAGATTTAGGTACGCGGCTAAACGTTGAGGTGTGACCATCCGCTTCTAATTGCAAGGGTGTGTAATGCCGTCTACTTTTGAACTGTTTTTTGTTGTCTAATTAATATTTTCAACGCCGATTATAAAAAACCACACGTAACATTTAGATAAAACACTATAACGGTTTAAAACGAAATGTGTTAGTTAAAATAATTTTCAAATAAGTTCAAATAATATGTATCGCGTTTTAAACCGTTAAAGTGTATTATTTAAATGTAAACTACAAGCAGACAACTTTACGTAACGACATAATGTAAGACGGATCAGATTTGTGTCTGTTTAAAACTAATAATAGAAAAAAAATACAAATACAAAAAACAAATTACAAATTTATTGTCAGGTAATAGGTTTTATTTCCGTTCACTTAAGGATTTTACGAATAGTGCACAAGATATAAGATATAATATAATATCAATAAGGATATAAAGTGATTTTTAGACGTAGATAGTTGTCCCGTAATGTCGATTTGTTATCTTGAAATACATTTTACAGTAGCGGTACGGGGATAAGCCGGTGATTAACAAAGAGAGGCAGTTTTTCATTCAACTTATTACGCGGCTTCTTGAACTGTGCTCATTTTTCAGTAGAGAAAAAAAAAGAAACCGACCGAATGACAAATTGCGCTATAGCGAACGCAACGGGAGAAATATGGCGCCGTTTGTTCTAAATGTGCTCGACTTAGGCGACCGTACATACGATAATTTTAGTATTTTACTTTTAACCCAGTAGTAAGTACACAAGAGCAGCCGATTTGATTCTTTGTTATGTATCAATAATTTTACTATTTCATTATGTACATGTTAGTAAAGTTTAAGATAATTCTTACAATTTTATGTAACAAGTTATTGGGGACAACTAACACATGACATCTGGTTACATCGAATGTTTGACAGGGTCTTTGGTGTAATAGTAACAATGTAAGGCTAATATATATTGCGTTTTAAGTCGTTAAGAGTTTTAAGAAACACTTTAACGGTTTAAAACGCAATATATATTGGTTACGTTTCGGATGCTTTGCAGTCGTGCTCACGGGGAGACAAATTCACTTCAAATAAGTTTAACTAATATATATCCCGTTTTAGACCGGTATAGTGTTTTATTTAAATGTGTACTACTCGCGTAAACTACATACAATATTTACACCCGATAATTCTAAACTTGAGTGCTATACAATCATGACAATCCATCTCATTAATAAACATAAGTTTTTATCGTAAAAAGCATATTATGAAAGTGACTTACTTACGAATTATTTAAATTAATTTAAAGCCTGTCCACAAACACACCTGTTCCTATTTTTACATTTAATTCGGACAGGCACGACACTAACAATCAATCAATAGTGAAATTAGTAATCATCAGTTTAATTTCGTAAATCATTGTTGATTGAATTCTCGAGAAATACCGCTTTACATTTAGAATAACTAAGTCACTTTCTAATTATCAAGCGGCAGATTTGTATCAACGTACTGTCGAACTTACAAAAAAGAAAATAGAAAGAGAGAGAAGAAGAAATAAATAATTGTGTACAGTGTAAATAAAGAATTCTTTATTCGAAGTCACCAACTGGTAACGGAGCTTATATGATTCTAGTATACAATTAAATTCATAAGTAGAATACCATTCTTTTTAATGACAGGGGAGGACAGATGGTTCACTTGAGGGTAAGTGAACCCCCATATTTACAAAAGATCTGCTGTCGACCTATTTTGACTTTGGATATTCCGAAATTCACAGACTGAAGCCGAAAGGCTTTTCACGGCTTTTTCATCATTTGTCGGCGGGTCGTGACCCGGACGGATTTCTATATTCCTACCACCCGTTTAATATCAAGATTAACAGACGAAGACCAACATGTTTCAGAAATATTATAAATTGAAAAATTTTAAATATGTTGGACCCGGTGGGGATCGACCCACGACCCGTTGATTATTAGCGATACATTGCTACCACTACACCAAGCCCAATATATCTATTTTTTTCCAGTTGGAAACAAGTATTTAGACGGGTTCATTGGTCTAATACAAAGGCAATGTATTGTTGAAAATAATCAACAAAGAGTGGGTTCGATTACCGGAACCAACATGTATTAAATTTATATATTTTTTTAAACTTCGCCATTTATTTTCTACATATTAAATGAGGTTTGAAAACATTAATATTTTTCACATGTTATTGCACATGAAGGCACTATATAATTTAAAAATCGAAACAAATTTTTTTTTCAATTTTTTGAAATTACACTGCGCGAGAGGTGCATGTATCAATAAGTTGAAAAAATTCGACGATGAGGTGTAGGACTCGGTAGCTCGATTGGTAGAGCAACAGCACGGAACGCTGACGATGCCGGTTCAAGTCCTGCCCGAGTCGAAAATTTTTTCAATTTATTTTCGATTTTTAAAATATTAAATGAGGTCACGAATCACGTGACCTCTAACATACGACAACGCATCTCGTTTGGATGTTATATAGCTGGGGTATTTCTATATTCACTTGTGAAGTGAACCAATACTTGTGTGTGTCATAAACATCTAGTCTTTAGAAGCTAGATTATAAACGCTGTTAATAATCCACCAGATCAGTCCCATAAGGAAGAGATGAGCCATAAAGCAGCGAACACATTTGAATAACTCAAACACTAAAAGCAATGGAAGCAGAAGGCTGTACTAAGTATTTCTAAGCGCAATTAGTGCCTTCATAAATGTTACGTGAGACTTACCATCGTATTCATGTGAACTTTTTACTAACGTATTTTTAGTATTGCGCTATTATTATCGCTTCTTCGTCATTTTCTGCGCCATGAAAGGTTCCTCTAGATTATCAATCGATTTTAATTGAAACGTAATAAAAATAAATAGGTTTCTCTTGATCAATGATGAGCAATACGAAAGTATATCTGTAAATATATTTTTAAAACTACCTAAAATTGAAATAAAACACCTTCAACGGTTTTTAAACGTGAAATTTGTTCGCCCTTATACCTACCTGTTTAAATATTTTATTTCAAGATCGATTTAAATATTGTCTGTAGTTTACGAGAGTAGATCACATTAAAAAAAAACACTATTAACGGTTTAAAACGTGAAATTTATCAGTGGATCATGTACGATTTACTGAAATTACGGCCCAACGTTTCGTATGCTTTGCAACATCCGCAATCACGTAGGGACTTAACTAATATATTTCGCGTTTTAAACGGTTAAAAGGTGTTTAAATTTAAACTATTCGCGTAAACTACAAGCAATATTTATATCGATCTTCAAATAAAATATTTGAGGGCGAACTATCATTATCAATTTACCAAAGTAGTTTAGCTACCTTTATTTAATACTAGATTTATTTCTCATTTTAACCATCACTTATTTACTTAAGAAGTTTCCCTCGTCGCAGAATTGTATGTAAAAATACGATCTTAATCAGCATCAGTTCCTCGAATTCTTATTTATCATATAATCGTGCTTATAAGCGGAGTGTGGAAGCCAAACCGAACGAAAATGATCCGAAAGTTGTTAAAAATATCTCGGTACAATCTCAACTTTGCTATTTAAAAAGGGAGAAACAGAACACGATATCAACGGGAGCGTTTGTCCCCGAGTCAATGCACGTAAAACGAAAAAAACACTTATCTCAGTAGAATGGCGACCGCGAACCGTGCGCCTTTTTCCCAGAAAAAAAAATATTCCCGATCAATATTCGGAGGTCTAAAGAGGGGTCCTTTGCGCTCGTATAATTGGTTGAGGGAAAATTTATGCGGCGCGCGCTATCTACGTTCGGGCACGCTCGGCTTCAGTCGGCACGTCGATAAGGCTGCGCCGCAGAGCCTACCGTTTTTGAGCCTGTGTGCTATTTATCCTTTACCCATACGCTCGAGAACCGAGTTACATAAGTACAAACTATGTCATTCAACTCTCATTACGTGAACAAATAAATTTCCCCGCTGATTACATATCAGAGCGATGCACAAATATTTGTCGGTAATTAACGATCGTATCGTATAAGCTTAATAAAAGTGGCAGCTGCAACAACTCGAATGATGTTTAACGGAAGTTAGACGTGATTTGGTTTATTGGCATACACCTGCATCTTAAGATTAATACGTTAGACGAAGAATGGAATCCGTTCCAAATTTAAACAGAACAATGCTCGAATTGTGCCTCAAAATTACGTAAGACTAACTACAAAAACGTTGTAATTATGAAAACAACGGCGAACTCTTTGAAGCCACCGCGCAAGACCTACATTAAAGGGCCGCTGCTTCAAATAAATTAAAAGCAATAGTGCTCTAAAAGGTAAAGATACACCGATGTGTGTTCAACTTATTAGAACTTCGTAACAGCGGGCAGATGTGGCAAGTGAAACAGTTTCTTTGAAGACCGCCTCAAATTGATACGCCGATATTGTTTTTAAACATACGTATGACGTCATCAATTGATTGGTACTTTTCCAAGTCCTTTGCGTCCCAGTTAGGTAAGACTCGAAGACAGCATTCGTACACGATCACCTTCGGTTAATTTTGGCGTCTCAGAGGTCAATTTTACTATGTACTTTTCACTGTAACAGTGTTTTCACAATAACAGGTTGACTTACACAGGTTTAAGTGTGTTATTGTTTTGTTAAATGTTTTAACACCATGAAACTAGAAAATTCGATATATTCTTTTGCATTCAAACAGTTTTTCAAATAATTTCCGGTATACACGATGCCGGATATAGTGAATAGTCATAGACAAAAACACCTAAAAGCAAGTTCTAGTTATTAACACAGATACAATAATGAAGGGCATAAACAAAGATATATGTAATTAAAAAATTTGAGCCGATAACCTTGCAAACACCTTCACTTACAGATAGCCGAGGACAACTGAGCGTCACGATGGTTCTGTACTCGTTACCGATAATCAATCGGTAATTAGAGCTTCGGTTCCGGCTTCGGATTCGTAGCGAACATTTGCGAAAACCGTTACTGTAAATAATAACTGTTGTCGGGTGAGCTTTGGCAAAGTTCAACTGCCACAAACATGTCACATCAAATAACTTTATTTTAATGTCATAACGTTAAATATTGATAGAAAAACTACGGGAAAAAAATACGTGAAGACTTTTTAAGTGAATTTTGACGTTGAAAAAAAAGGGCGTAGTAATCTTCTCGCTAGTTCAAGACCGTTCAAACTAACTTTTATAAGTGTCTAAAAGTTACATAAGTATATTTGATTTGAAAATATCAAATTTCAAACGTACGGCTTCAGTAGACATCGCCCTTCGATACAAGAAGCACGGTGACCTGCAAAATGCTTCTGTAAAATTCACAACATAACAACGTCACAAAGGATTCGTAAACGTTCGCAATGCTGTAATCAACGCGCAAAGCTAAGCCGAGATCAATTCGCAACACAAACATCACATTATCTAACTCTAAACGATCTTTTTAAAAAGACCAAAATATTAAATTGTCATATTACCTGTAACACTCGTTTGGGAAGACCCGTCTTCTGGCTCAGCTGTTTCAGGTCTTTCGCATCGGGGTTATGGTTAATTGCGAAGTAGGACTTCATTGTTCTCAGCTGGTGGTGTTTGAAGCTCGTCCTCATGCGCTTGGTTCGGGACGTCGCCCCCAAACCACCGCCGCCTCGGAAACCCATCTCCAAGTAATCAGCATTCAAATCTGGTAGGAGAGAACAGTCATGCTGCTAATTGATAAAAACAAAAGGTTACGTCGAACCATACAAAATATTTCCGTTGTTGATATAGAAGTACTTTGTATACATATACGGCTGTGTATCTGTCATAACATTAATAGTGATAAATGAGAAATAATTAATTAAAAATCGAATGCTTAATTAACACAAAAATATTATGACAAGTGCATTAAGGATGAAATCGAAGATAATGCACACGATAAAACAACATGTTAAGTGAGATAAAAAATTCGCGGTGCAAATTCGCAATTAATTACATAAAATATCATCATTATAAGCAGAATTTATATAAACGGAATTGGGTCACACTGGCTGTGTCGTGCCGCGATAACTTTGTTTTACATAATCATATGCTTAATGTTAATTCAACACTTACGGTGAGGATACGAAAATAAAATACAGATAAAAAATTAAATCAAACGTTCGGTTTGATTTTGGAATTCCTACGAGGTTTCAAATTTAGAATTTCACAACGCTTAACGTCGATACGTTTCGCTGGCGTTCGAAGGGAATTGGTGGTTACGCCCCGAAATTTGTTCAGTAGGAGGTACTTCTTGTGCGTTTTCGGCCATAAATCGATTACAACTTGCGTGCAATTCATTGTTTTCTGTTGCTTCTCAGCTTCAGCGAGCCTCGGCGTGACGTATCGTATCGGTAAAGGCACGCTGCCGCAACGCGTCGCACGTTTAACGACCAATAAAAACAGTTGCCAATAAATTTATTCCGTACCGCGCTGGACATAGAATTACAACCAGCACAACTCCAATTTCAATACCTTGTAGCCGTATTAAATTATTGCTTTACAAAAATATTCGATTTATATAAAACACTTTAACGGTTTAAAACGCGATATATATTAGTTAAGCTTATTTGGATTTTAACTACGGTTCGACGTTTCGGATGCGTTGCAGCAGCTGTGTTCAAGAGGAGACAAATATAAATAACGTTTTAAACCGTTAAAGTGTTTTATTTAAATATGTACTACTCGCGTAAACTACAGACAATATTTAATAATATTCGATACTTTAAAACATGAATATTGAATTCTTTGTTTTTTTTGGAACTTTTTTAACACTTCATTTGACTGTATAGATTACGTATTGAAATAACTTAGTTTAGTAAAAAATTGAATACTGTAAGGTCTGTTCTATATTAATATCACTTGCATATGTCATATACGTTGATAGATATATATTTGTAATATTTATAGACTTTGCCTTTATTTTGTGTTTCGTGATACTTCGTTAACTCGTGAAGATGATATCGTTAGAATTAGACTAATACAGATACAGTAAAGTACTGATAAGTTAAATAAATAGTGAAATTAGCAACGCCTTCGCCGGTTCCGAGTCTTGAGCGCGAACAATTAGCAATGTGGGTAATTATGCAGGGATTCGTTGGAGCATTTTACTCGAGAGGTAATGGCAACCGATTCAAGTTAAATGGAACACTTTGATACGTGCCGCTTGCGGCGCGACGCATGCGCCGTTGTTTAATGTTTACTTTACGAATCGACACACAAGGAAATCGCCTGGCATTGTTTTATACCTTACTTTTTTATGACGGCGAGGACGTACGCACGGGCACTTATTATTTCACTGTGTAGCCTTGCGCTAATTATGATGCGCTGCCGTCCTATTTCTGGTTGGGATAATTTGAAACGAAAGTCAGTTAATGTCCAGATTGATACACGTTAAATCTTATATTAGTAATCCAATCCAAGCAATTAATTGGGCTAAACCTTCATTCCTGAATCTTGCTCAGATTATATTTGTCACTTAATGGATACAACATTTGTCGTATCCATTAATGATTTTATAACAGTAGGAAAAAGGCCGTATATCTCCTTATAAGATAATATAGTTTAAACGTCTTTCCAATTTTAGTTGTGAACTGCGAGACATAAATTATTTGCTTAATACATTACTAGTGAAAAGTCCACCAGCAGATCGCGATGTGAGAACTCTAGCGAAAACCAAAACGAGCCAAAGCTATAAAATGTGATCCCACACCGATTGCAGTCTAGATCCGTCGGTGACGGGACGTTTGTTTGTTTCGACATGATTTACGCACCCACTGTCAACGTCCAACGATAAAACCAGACACAAAATTACCTAGATACACGCCGCCGAACGAAATAACCTTAATCAAAGCGACTTTAGAAATCGCCAGGTGTCCAATGGAGTTCAATTAAAACTGGCCGTAGTACAGTCGCCCCAAGCGCTCGTGCATCGCCTTTGTGATATGGTATCTCGGTGAGCAGAAAAGAATTTGCATACAAGAGAATTTCCATGTTTTACTTAACATACCTACCAGTTACTGAACCGAAAACTTCACACGCATAATAATAAGATATTAATGCAGGAGGGCGATAGCGGATAACAAAATTATAACTGGATAACTTAATGGATTATCAATGTTAACATTCTCAACGATGTCATTGCCCGGGGACGTGACGAGCGGTTTTAGTTCCTAAACAATTTGAGGGCTTCAAAAGGGCCTTTAGCAAAAAAAGTTAAAATACATATTAAAAAAGGACATTTGGTGATCCTTCAGCATGTCATCTTATCAATAAACAGGATCTGAATAGACGTCTGGCCCGCTAAAAGAAGACATTATTAATAGATTGAGACACAAAATGTACCTTTATAAAGGTAAGGCGTTAGGTAGGCAAAAAGTGTTGAAAAAACCCGAGCGTTGGTTGTAAAAGATCACTGCGATCTCATAAATCGTACGTACCATTCATGTTTAGAGGCCAGAAAAAAAAATTGATTTCCTACGCGATACAGCCTCGTCCGGTGGCCAGTAAATTCTTTGGTCCATAAAAAATGGAACGGAACTTATTTTTGGTTATAGCTTTTTGCCTTGAAATAATAGTAATATTTTGGAATATTGAACATGATACTCACATATTCCGTCAACCGTGTTCGATATTTGAATTGAAAATTGGAATCGAAGCTTGCGTAACGAATTTACAATTTAAATTGAGTAAAACGCATAAAGCCTTTTTAAGATAAGGTTGGTATCGTATGTGTTGAGGCCCATATCTGGTCAGCAGGGGGTGCTACCGACAGCCGAGGTATGCAACACGCCGCGAACCACCAAGCCGAAGCGCCGGTCATATTTCAACTGTTATTACTACTTAAAACTGTGGAGTTATATTGCGCCGATAGATATCAAAACGAACATCAAAAACGACGATGCCTTGCTTAGTGTTGTTCGTTTATAACGATTTTTAACTACTATTATTTTTCTGACATTCTACTGCCTTTATTATATAGGTACAGAAAATCGATAGTAAGAAACAGTATACTAGTTAAGGAAGTACAATAATTAATTTATAAGTAACATAGCTGTTTTAATAACAAGTGGTGTTAATAATAGTTATTTCAAATGTTAGTTAAACTATGACAATGATAAAATCGGACTGACTCGGAACATGAAAAAATATTACATTTTTATCGACAAAATTCACCACAACACTATTTTTATGACATCCCGGACATTATCAGCGTATTTAATAGGTACACTCATTTTAATGTACATTTTTATTTGGTGGCATAAAATGTAAAAGTTATAAGAATTGTTTGAGAAAAGTTGAAATTGAATATTTATATGGAGTTCGTAAAAAATGGGGAAATGTACACCGACGACGAATTGTTCCGTTGTAATTTTATAAGAAATACAAAATAAAATGAATTGATATTTAATGACCGAAAAGCAACGTAATTGGTTAATTGCAAAATATGTTAAGTATTTCCATGTTTGAAAATCGAAAGACGTTTAAAACACCTTTCTATATTCCATATTTAAGTTCTTTGTTATTGTTTGAATTACCGTTACTAGATGTCCGTTTCGTTATATCAATAAAAACGTTAATACATATTATAAAAGGCATTACAGGAATTTTAACAGTTTTTACATTTAATAAAAGCTTGGAAACATAATTTATTTTTAGACTGTATATACACTTCAAATATCAGAAATAACTCTACAATTTTTTCCAGGACGATTTTGATTCTTAAAAGTATGATTATAAAAAAATAAGTTACAGTTATTGAAATTTCCAACGTTATAAACAGCTACTTTATATAAAGAAATTATTAAATAAATAAAGAAACGCGCTGTCGAAAGTCACTTTTCCATCCAGACGAAGTCATGAACAACAGCCAGTGTTACAAAAACTGACGGGTTTATCAAAGTTTTATATCCTACAGCCCTACTAAACGTTTCGCCAGTAATAATTAATGTAAGCCTCTTAATTACTCTATTAATCCATATTGGAAATGCCATAAACAAAATGTCGTTATTCTAAATTCAAGAAGGGTTTGAGTAATAAATAAGGCTTCAATATAAAGCTATTGGGTCGGTGTGCCACTGATACAGATGTCATGTAAGAGATAGCGGCGTTTACAAAACGAACTAACATGAATATCACATTAGCCGACTGACGGCCTGTGAGACCATAAGTGTGGGTATGTTCTAAAGCATTTTGTAGCTGGTTTAGTGTTTGTAGCACGCAAAAAAATCTAAATAACTTTGTTTATTAACCAAGTTGAGTCAACTGATTACGCGAGTAAAAGGTGTTAAAATATATCAATTTAAACGGAATAAAGCGCTATTATTATTAAATATATATTATTAAATAATATAAAGAAAAGTTTCAGCTTTTCAGCAGCCGTGATGTGCGGGGACAAAACGCAAGTTGACGGGGATTATCACAAAAGTACTTAAAGCAATTAAAGTTATCGAATTAAATTTCGAACAAGAAATTCAATGCGACATTTAAGAATAACGGTACTAACGAACCGTTATTGAAATTACGTTTTATTTTGTATACGTCTAAGTAAACTTCACGTATTTACTGTCGCGTTATCCTTCAACTGTATAAAAAAAAAACAAAAAACACTTTGCGCCCAAACAGCTTTTTGTTTCAGTGAAATAGTGTTCCTTTTTTAAAAACCACTACCGTCGGCCAAGGAACGCCGTATCGCTATCATCGTTGGACGCTACCCGAAGTGTCCAAGCCGAAAAGAAATTCAAAAAAAGAACACTCGCTACATATTTTGGCAGGAAATAAATCACTTGGCCTGTAGATGTAAGACGCGGGCATACAAAATTTATGGCGGTGCCGTAAGTAAGGTAACTACTAAAAACAAAGTAAAAACGAAAAGGTGATCTCAGGTGACCCCCGAAGCAGATGCGACAACTTCATTACGACTTATAATTTACTTCGCTCCCGTTATTGAAGTAGGAAATGTTTTTTTTTCCTTTTCGCCCGTTAGAAGGTAATTTATGGACGCATTGGAAAGAGGCAAGCTGACGGGTTCGTGATGGCGAGTGAAAATATTTTAATTCTAATTATTACCTCTGATCTTTCGTGTGTCTCATTTCGTTACGATATATAAGGCTGCTAGATGATATTCAATAATACTATTTGTGTAAGAAATCTTTTAACAATTTTTGATCTTGTAGATTTACATTTTTTGACTATGAAATTGCATTGAAGCATGCATATGAAGTCATAAAATTGCAGTTAGGCTACTCTGCCTCTAAAGGCCTCATATATGAGCATATAAATTACATGCTATTTTTGTTTTGACTTTCGATTGGAACGGAAACTATATTAATTAACTAGGTGTGTTCTTTTTTCAACATTATATAAGATATATTTTCTTACTGATGTGTATACAGCTAATGTCAAATAAATTTTATCCAGTAGTGATGCTGCATTGGAACATATTATTGATTATAAAGTTTAAATAAAACACTTTAATGGTATAAAACGCGATATATATTAGTTAGACTAATTTGAAAATTATTTTTAACTACGGCCCGAAGTTTCGTTGTTAGTTTAAGGAATATAATTTCGTTTTAAACCTTTAAAGTGTTTTATTTAAATGTGTACTACTCGCGTACAGACACACCTACAGACAATGTTTGTTTATAACGTGTTTACTTGTAAAAAAAGTTGTCCTATATTAGCAAACTATATTAATAATTTTTGTACGTTATTTGAAGTACTTTACTTGATCATGGTGGTGTCATGTCAGATATGCTAGGTAAAAATCACCGGCATTAAATGAGAATAATTTATTTTTAATCTTAAGGTCCGTACAAAAGATTAAACATTATTGTTTAGTTACGTATTGCGGTTGAATCACTTTGTAAGTATAATATCCTATAAACACATACAACGGCGCACTGGCACCTTTTTAAGTTCGGTTATAAAATATTAGAACGAACTTTGTTTGCTAAGTGGGTGCGACTTCCACGCCCAGTTGTCACCTCCCTCCGCAATGTAAGTAATATGCTCATGCGCATATCCTTATGGCATTACGAGAACAGAATAATTTAGCTTAGTGCCAGAGTGTTTTGTTCTTTACACCTTAATTCATTTTGGCAGCGGTCTTTTAAAAAACAACGGGGAAAATTATATCAGATTTTAGTGTTCCATTAAATGTGCAGTATTCGCGTAAACTACAAACAGTACTTGATATAAGATTTATTTTACATGCATTTTGTCCCTAACTTACGAATTTGACGTTTGCTAAATCGCACGTCAAAAGTAAATAATTTATCACGAAGAATTAGTTTAGAATTTCCTCCTAGAAATATAATATTTAGCTGGAGTGTGTGAGCGTATTAAAATTACCTTAGTACATAGTAGCATATACGAAACAAAAACGCGCGTTCGTCTCGAAATGAATAATTAGGTAAGCAAAAATTTTAATCATATGCCGTACTAATTTCTCGTCTTGGGTACCCTTTAAAATCAAGTTGTATCGTTCTATTTACAAACATTAAAAGTTACATTTTAACTTTAAAGATAGATATTATAAGTTTATACATAATTGTCATTTATTTAACCATATGGCTTATATCCTTATAATCGACAAACATTAAGATACCAAGAGGTATTTGCCGAAAAAGGAGGTGTGCAGTGCTTTGATAAAAACGAAAAATTCAGACTGTCAAATTATCAAGCTGCCCTTACTTGGGAACCGGTAGTCATGGCGTTGGACTCCAGAGCTTTATGTATTACGCAATGCCGTTCCCTTATAATTGATATGGCGGCCGCGAGGGGGCAGAAAAAGTTGCGCCGGATTCGCGAAAATGGACACCCACACAAAAACTGACCTGACCAAAATTGCAATTTTAAGGAGGGCGCTGCGGTGCCTCTTTATAAATTGTGTTTTTAATTATTATAGCTGTTATCTTAACGTTACATTAATTGTTCATTTTTTCCTAGCAAAACGATTTCTTCGAGAGTTATCAAATTCTTCTTCATTAGTTATCGTCTTCCGTTACCAAATTAGTAAGTGATCGTTTTTGAAATTTTTAACTCATAAAAGTTTTATATATATGCCATAATTGTGAACGGAAAAATAATATTGCTTTTTCGAATATTCTCCATCATTTTTATTAAACTTTTGTTATCTGTAAATTTGTGATTCACAAAAATAATGATCCAAAAGAATCGTTATATGCATTTTATAACATATACGTCTTTATTAACACGGAAAGAATAAGTATGGAATCTACGCTGTAAACTATATGGGTTCACGATGTAAGTTTTCAGTTGTTAGGCCCCAAAAAAGCCGTAACCAGTCACAAAAAATCACCCCGCCCCTTCCGGAAAAAGATGAATGCGTTCATGAAACCAAAATTGATCCTCATATTTCGGTTTCGTATTACTTGGGGTGAAATACTAGAGGAGAAGTTTAAAGTTATAAACGATACTTAGTTTGATACACACTTCATATTCATGTAACTTAAGTTGTAAAGAAAATTAAAATAGATATAGGTGATGCTTGAAATTCGTTTCCTTTAATTTCGGTAGAAGTCGGTAGATACCGTTATCCGTAGGTAAATCATCTTGATAAATACATCCGCTAGTGCAAACGTTCGGTTCATTGAAATGTACAGAGTATGATGAACTTTGTCGAGTTCGACACGCGAACGCTTCAGGCGACAAGTGAACCTGTTCGAGTAAGACGCACAGACATACAATAGTACGAATAAAAGTCACCGCCTATGAGCCCCTATCTTTTTGCACACAATAAAACGTTCATTGTAATGATGCGATTAAACGGCGCATAAAATTCTCGTCAGACAATCACTCGGAAAATTAATACGCCAAGAAGTGTGCTTGTATTTTATTCAAGCGTAAACGGCGCAGCTGTAATTACCTATAACTACTGGCTGATGCGAAATATAATGTTTTGATTGCGATTATCACAAGTGTGCGATTTTACGGAAGAAAGAACTGCCTCCGTCGATGTTTTCGATTTTTAAAAAAGGAATTTCAAAAGCTAATTTCAAATTAAGAACTTAAAAGTAGGGTCTGGCCACAATATCAGTGGCTACAGAATTGAACAGATAAACGGACTGGTTTTTGTATCGCGGGAATAAGCGAAATCGTCTTTTTAGAGTTCCTTAAAGGATGTAACGGGATCATTTTGTCGGTACGTCTGTATCTCGTGATAGCAATGATCACAGATTATAATTGTATGCTACCTTTATTTAAAACGAAATAAAACAAATAGGCTAATCAGCTGTGTTTTGGTATTTTTATAAACAATACGAAACTCTTTACGCTCGACTCCGATTCGCGCTTGATTTTTTTGCCCCTGATACTGTAAGTGCAGTTTTGACTCGTATGTGGTAATAAAATCGTTAACGCTTTGTCTGAGAAAAGAATTGAGATTTCGTGTATTCAGTAACAATTTAGAAATAATTGATTTGCATTCTGTGTTTTTATCGTATAATATGTTTTAAAGAGATCAACACAGATAAGTAGCTAATGAAAAATATTTATCAGTCATCAGTTTTAAAGTTTGTATTTAGAATGTCAAATATTGGAATGCTATATATAAATCAAATATGCAGTTATGGTAGGTATACCAAGCCCAAAGTAGTGCTACAGTGTGTTAGTAATGCAGAGGTTAAAATATATAAAATTTCGCTCCTGCAGCAGGTACAAATGGGAACTTACCAAGATTGGCTGTCATCAAGTCCTGGTCTTTCGGTTTCTTTTTCCTCGGTCTCCCTTTTTGTCGAGGAGGTGGTGCTGCAGCTCCATTGAAGAATGGGCCTTTAGGAACATCTGGTTCTACCCGCGCGAAATCGGGAGAGGGGTAAGGGGGGTAGTGGGGACCTTGTGGAGGACCGGCGTAGGGTCCCGGGCACATTTGAGGTGGTCCTGGCATCGGCATGTGAGGCCCGTAGTCTGGCATCGTTTCATAATGTAGCCTGAAAAGAAAGGTTGGTGAAATCTTCTCTATTACGTAATACAGTTAGTATTACGTAATAGAGAAGATTTAAACTTAAAATTAATTTCTCCCTTACTTGCTGTGTATACTTTTACGATGTACCCTTGCTTTTTTATTATTCCTTGCTACTGCTACTACCCACTAATTAAGCCTTTTTTAATAATTTTTTTTTCTCCTGTACTATAGTATGCCTGGAAGAGATCGCTGCTTAGGGATAAAGCCGCCTTTTATTTATAAATTCGTACGTAAGTTGTTATCTCTTATTGTTTTTGTGGTACGTATTTTAATACGTACCACAAAAACATTAAGAGATACACAAATTTATTTATTATAGCTATAGCTATTTATTTATATATATATATATATATTATATATATATATATATAAATAAATATATTTAAGACCCTAATTTAAGTCTCTTAATTTTAAGAGAGCTAAGAATCTTCCTATTTATATCCAGAAGAGAACGTGCAAAAGTTATTTATTTATATAAATAAAATATATATAACAGTATTGGTGGAAGGTGAATTTGCATATAATAATATATTGGGCTATTAATCTTCTTAATTTCGGAATATTTAGAAACAGACTAGAAATTAGAAGACAACTCAAAAACAATTTTGGGCCTGTTAGAATTCAAACAATCATGAGCTCAACCTAGGCTTCTTCTGTTTGTGTTGCCCATATAGAAAGACACAGAACTATTGTATTATCATTCTCCATACCTGCAGTACACAGCTGAATCTCTAATGCCAAACGTGTCTCCCTTCGTCAGCCTGGTGCTGCAGAGCGCGCATGAAAAGCAGTGCACGTGGAAGACCAGATCCCTTGCCCGCATCACCAGCTCTGACGCAGATATCGGTGTATTGCAACGCGCACACCGTTTTGAGCCGTATAACCTGAACAAAAAGTATGATTCTTGCTTAGCGCTGTAAGTTTAAGAGACCTTAGGCAAATTCCTGGAGAAGATTAATAAATATGTGGAAAAGAGACATTTCAGTCTCTTAGTATATTTTATTCCTGGCTAGTAAGAATTTTGCTAACCGCCTCTGAAGTTAGAGGTTTCAATGTGTTGCCTTGCATTACGCGTGAGAGGTCATGAATTTGAATCCTGGGGTAACAATAGTTTCGGTCTGGCGGAGCACAGAAGTCTTTTCAACTACTTGGCCGTAAATAAAAGCGATCAGTGAAAATATGTGGGCTCACAGGACACAAGATTTTTTCACCTGCAAACTACAGCCATTTAGTATATTAAATTCTATTTGATCCCAACTATACAAATAGTAACTTAACGGTTTAAAACGCAATATATATTAGTTAAACTTAATTGAAAATTTGAACTACGACTCGATGTTTCGGATGCTTTGGAATAAGTTTAACTAATATATATCGCGTTTTAAATCGTTAGAGTGTTTTATTTAAATGAGTACGTAGGTACTACTCGCGTTAACTACAGACATTATTTGATCCAAACTAGTTTAGTAATAAATTTAATTCAGTATTCGACGTTTTAATTGAATCGTTCAAGTAATTCGCAAGTAGATCTATACTACAAAATCCTTGTTTACAATGCTGATACCCACCAGAGGAAATATTTTGTTCTAATTAATCAACCAGGTTTTGCGGTGATAATATTCTAATTCCAGTGTTGCCCTTCAGTTGAATTACTATAAAGCTACTGTGTAGTACAAATGGTTATTTATCCCTAATACTAGGTACCAAACTTAGATTGTTTAAATAAAACATTTTTAACGGTTTAAAACGAGAAATGTATTGGCTAACTTATTTACAAGTTATTAAAATAACGGCTAATTAAAGTAAATAAATTGAGTAATACATTGCGCGTTTTAAACCGTTAACGGTGTTTTATTTAAATGTGTCCTTGCGAAAACTATAGATAGATAAATTTAACTTGTTATTCATTAATATGTGGAATCACGTCTTTGGCATATCTTTCACCAGATTAAAAAAAATGTGAATGTGAAAGCCCGTTTCCCGCACGTGGGGCATGGGAGCGGAGACATTTCTGTGTCCGTTTCACCGATTCGTTCTTTTAACGGGCAAGCAGTTGATCAGACTTCTGTGCCCTGCCCGACCGAAACAATTTTATATTTCCCTCGGATTCGAAATCAGGACCTCTCGCGCTTAACGCAACGCTAGGCAATACGTTTAACCATTTGGCTACAGAGGCGGTCATTTCCACCAGATTACATTATTGTTACTAGTCTTATAATCCAAAATAAGCGTGTTATATCAAATAGACCAAAAACGTTATCTGAACTTCGATATCAAGGAGCCTTTGAAGCGACTCATAGTTTTATTGCTTTCGAAATCCGGGACCATCACGCAATGGCTTTAGGTAGCTTTATTACCAACTATACCATACACAACATCGAGGAAGACCAGAAACTTCACACCTGCCACACCAATAAGAGTGAAACAAAATACACGACGCTAGGAACGCATTCAACAAATTCTATTCGGATAATTAAAACCGGTATGTGACCGAGATTGGAGATAGGGAGTTCGACTCCCGAGTGAGACATCCCGGTGTGGTCTCGATTCCACGACTCGCCCGTATCTCGATCGGACGCTGAATTATTTACTAAATTTTAAATGAAATGGTATTGACGGTATGTATGGGAGACGATTGTTAAAAAATAGTACAGCTATATAAAAATGTGGACGTATGTATGTTTATAAAGTTTATCTACTTTACACATGGTATTAGACACGTTATTTCACATGTTTTACATGTAATTGCACATGTTAACATTAACACAATTAAAAATCGATTTTTACCAGGCATCTACAGCGTTCCGTGCTGTTGCTGCTCTGGAACGCTGTGGATGCCGGTTCGAATCCTGCCCGTGTCGTATATTGTTTGAACTAATATATATGTTATTAGTTGTCACACGTAGCTACAACTTATATTAATTCTTGTATGTTATTAGAATTAGAACGACAAAAATTACATGAAGTCACTTGCCGAATTGCTGAAGATAGAATAGGGCGACATCACATCCGGTTTGTATGTAATATGGCTGGGATATTTAACCTTCGATTAAGTGATGCCAAGTATTTTTCGATTCAGAAGCTATCCGTCAATAAAACAAGGCAGATATTTTAAAATGCGTATTCAACGTTGCGAAAGGAAACAATATCAAAAAAGCGGATTTAATTTTCCATTTGAGTTCCCGGTCACCCTTAAACGACGCCGGTAACGTAATTAATAAATGATTCCACACACTATATATGGATGTCAAAATTTACTTATCATTTAAGCAAGGGCTTAAGTATGGAATTTTTAAGAACTCCGCATTTTAAACGCTCGGCGAGGCAAAAACTGCCACCGATATGACTCGTGGGCTTCGCAAGTTGTCGAGGCTATAAATGTATGCACGTTTAATCGGAAACTACTCATACGAATATTTTGAGTTCGAACAGAACATTTCTTTGTTAATAAAAACCCGATTCCTTTTTTTGGAATTTAACATAATTAATTAAATCCCAGAAAGTAAGTAGTTCATAACAAATTAAAAACCGATTTTAGATTAAAACCCGATTTTAAATTAAAGATCGTTTTTAGATTTAAAAAAAAATAACGACTCGGCATCCGCAGCATAGTGCATTTCCTCCTCGAGACGGGCTCCTTGGTGTAATGGTAGGTATGTACGGCTAATAATGAACAGGTAATATTCGATCGCTTCGATCGCCACCACGTCCAATATTTCTGTAATCATTTTACATTTTTACAGAATCATGTCGTCTGGAAATCTGGATAATAAATAGGCGGTAGAACTATCGCAATTCCGTCCCGGTCACGAACAACCGTCCAATGATGAAAAAGCCGTGCAGGTAAATCACGTTTCGGTTTCTGCCTGCGGATTTCCGAATATCCAAAGCCAAAATAGGTCGACGGCACATCTTCTCGAGATGTTGTATGGCTGGGGTATTTCACCTGTCCTTCTTTTTTATCATAGAGGATTTCACACTAAGTACAGGACTGCGTGGACCATCCGGACCTCTGAACTACGGAGACAGCCACGAACACTAAAAGTGGAACCAATAAAGTCTCTATTTATATTTATGTACTGTACAGCATACATTTATAGAGGGTGCATAAGAAAATGAAGATAGAAATGCAGAGTCAACGATGTAAGATACCTATCGCCGACCACAGGGCAGCAATAAATAAAACTAGTACTTTAATTATAAATATTATTCCATTCTGATGGGCTCGCGTAATTGTAACAATATATAGCTAATAATCAACGAGGAATTCAACTCCCAAGAAGGCCAACATGTTTCTTAAAATAACTATTTAATTTTGATGTTTTTAAATATTGCCAAAGTCAAAAGTCAAAAATCATTTATTCATGTAGGTAACTAGATACACTTGTGATCGTCAAAAACTAGAGAATCTAACTTTACATTTACTACAAGTTCCCAAATCAAGGGCGCAGTACGAACGAGAAGAATTGGCAATAAAATCGACGCTACTCCTTTTATCGTGAAATAATTCCTCTTTAAGTGGTCTAAGAAAAGTCCGTGAAAGAAAATATCTATCTTTTAAGATTAACTTATAAGAAAGCCGGAAGGGGACACAACCGACGTCGTGTGTAACAGCTTATGTTGAAAGGGTTTGCATTAACGAATTTTATGTCCAAAATAACGATTCTCGCGGACGAAGTCGCTGACACAGCTAGTGTTATATATAATTAAGCGCTGTTTGGCGGTTCCTTTCAAATCTCAAAATGTCATATCACCCAGTTAATTTTATCGGCATGAAATACGAGGTAAAACAAACATAATTCAAGCGAAATAACAAAACCACTTCCTTTTTACGCCGGCAACTGTACTTTATCCTTTGTAGTAAATATTATTAACGTGAAACATTATTGTGGAACTATTTCTTAGAAATGATAAGCGCGTGATAAAGCCCTACAAAGTACACTAGTAAATTAACACAATACCAATTTAAAATAATTAAAAACTTGTAACAACCGCGTCCCACTAGAACTACAAATCGAATAAGAATTTTTTTTATATTATATATATTTTAATTTTAACACATGTAAGTGCTGTTGACGTATTTTGGCTCAGAATATTCGGACATGTACAGACTGAACCTGTGCGCGATTTACACAGCTTTTTAATCTGTGGACGATAGTTCGTAACCCGGAATTTCAATGTTCCTACGACCCATTACATATCGAGATTTCCATACATCCAGTACGTTTTAGAAAAAATACAAATTAATTAGAAAAGCCACACTCAGTTGATTATTAGCGATACGTCGATACCATTACACCAACGAGAACGAGCCGAGCAAATATTAGGAACGTAAGGCTGCCAATATGTTACGCTGGTAGTGAACGAGCCTAACGACCGACCATTAAATTAAATATTTGTTATTCGATGCCAAGCTCGAAAATTCTCTTAAGTTGATTCGTAGCGCGCCAGAATCGGTGCCTTTCACGCAAGAAACAAGGCGATTCGTTACGCCAACAATAACAATAGGCGGCAAGCTTTATTTGATAATAATATGTCACGCGATACGGATGAAACACGCCTATTTAAATATGTATGTATACTGGCTATGCCAGCGACTTCGTCCGCGTTGAGTATTCGGGCGTCGAAATTTCTTTTTACAAACCTCATCGTTATTTAGATACTAGCTGTGTCAGCGACGTCGTCCGCGTAAAACATTTATTTTTGACATCAAAATTAGTTTTACCAAACCCCCTCTTCATGTTTATAAATTTAAACTGTTAATCACGACGTCGGCCGCGTTCCGTCGTTCTTGCAAATTAATTTAAAAAGAGGAATCATTCTTCTTTACATAAATTTTGGTATCTTAAACCCACAAAGAAGATTAAAAGAAGAAAAAATGATTTTCCCTATTTGTTTGAGATTGCTTTTTCGCTGCTATTGGTCACAGTATGATATTTTATAGCCTCCTTCAATGCCTTAAGCAACACATTTTTTTTTAATTCGAACCGGTAGCTCCCGAGATCAGCGCGTTTAAACAAACAATCACTTCCGGTTTAAATATTAGTATAGATAAAGATATAAGTGATATTACGCGACGCGTTTTTTGCAGCCAATAAAATTTACTTCAACGTATAAAAGTATAAAACTAAGAAGGACGCATGGCTACGGAGGCGGTTGTAACTTTGCTTAGGTTCGAATAAAAATATTTAAGCCTAATGCATTATACAGTACAGGAAATTTCCAGGT